CATTCATTCATTCATTCATTCATTCATTCATTCATTCATTCATTCATAGTTCAATACCCTCATTTGGTAGATGAGGAGACTGAGGTCCAGAGAGGTTAAATGCACAAACAAAGAAGATGACCATTGGGAATTGATAAACAAATTATGGCACATGAATATCATGGAATATTATTGTAACAAAAGAAATTAAGAATATGATGAATACAAAGAAGCATGGAAATACTTACATTAACTGTTACAAAATCAAGTAAGCAGAAGCAGGAAAAGTAGATCCAGGAGAAGAACATACACAATGTCTACAACAATGTAAATGAAAAGCACTACCACAAAACAATAAAAAATGAATGTTGTGATATTAAAAAGAATGGGTGTGGCCCCAAAGAAGAGAGGAGAAGACACCCCACCACACACCCACCCACTCACATTCACACACACAGACACCAATATTGCAGCCAATATTGATGGAATACTGCATATGATGTCAGTTTTTTCAATATATTGATTGGTTTTGTTGACTTTTTCTCTTTTCAACAACAACAACAAAAAAATCCTTTGTTTTAAGGGAAGGTGGGGGGTTGGTTCTACAAGGAAAAATCTAGCCAATGAAAAAAACAAAAACCACCAATTCAAACCTATCATTTTAAAAGTGACTTGTCGAAGGTCACATAGCTGGGTAGTTGTAGAGCCATGCCTGTTTGCTAAACTTGGAAAAATTATATACCTTTATTTATCCTTTTGATCTTGAGGTGAAAAACTTTCTATATACCCTTTTGTTATACTAAGAATCCATAGTAAGACCAATTACACAAATTGGAATTTTGTCAAAAGCAGAGAAAACCACATACTTTATTAACTATTAATAATATTAGGTCAGCAGACCTCAGGAATTACTTTTTTAAAGCTGTATTCACTTATTCATCATTAAACAAACTTTGATTGATTGACTTCTCCATGTAAAGTTCTGTATTTTCTCAAGGGTTGTTAAAACAAGCTGGGTTTACAATGTAAATTCCTAGATTATCAGACACAGTGTAATGATTTACTTTTTGAAATGATCTCTTGTCAGGCTTGTGTGGCAATACTATAAAATGGATTCATCAATTATGACCATTTGTGGTTCGGTGTGCCCTTTGTTAAACATGGCTGCTGTCCTGCACATGTGTTCTCCAGATGAAGTTTCATCCCTAAAATTCTGCTTTCCTTCTGCACGCTTTGCATACCACTTGGATATCCTTTGTCAGCTGAAAATCCTCTATAATTATTGAGCTGCAAACTTCAAAAAGCTCAAGATGAACTTCAGCAGAAGAAACATTGTTCACATTCAAAAATCAAATTAGAGCACATGTGTGGGACTTTATATCTGGGGACCATGTGTCAGTTGTTTTAAACTCAGAGAATATACTGTCACAAATGGGGATGGTTGATCTGATCTATAGTGTGCTACATGGGCCAAACAAATACGTTCACCACCAACAAAGTGATTATATTGTGTACAGTACTCTGAGACTTGACTATGAACACTTTCTTTTTGAACAGTGTTCGTACTGGAACCTATCTCATTACTGTATTTTATTTGCTTTCCTTTTTTATTATGAACTATTAGGGGAAGAGCTTGTATATTTTCCCAAGCACCAAATAAAACTCAACAAATTCAGCAGACATTAATAGAACACCAACTGTGCTATGGATAAGGCACAGCACTGGTCTATGGAAACTGGAGGGGGTTTCCAGAAAAGAGTATGCATAGACCCTGCCCTCAGGGAACTTAGGTTACACTCAGTGGGAGCTCAATACTATTCTGGCAGATTAATTCACTTCCTAAGCATGTGCCTTAGACGCTTTTTCCCTTTTTTCCATAAATATGGCTCCACTTCAACCCATTGCCCACAATTCTCTTTTTCAAAATAGGCCCAAAGAGCATACCTTTTGTTTCAACTGTAATACCATCTGTTTCATTTGGTGGAACTCCTTACAAGTGGCACAGCAGGTTCCTGCCTTCAGCACATTCTCTACTTTCTCATCATGTCCTGGGAAAGAAGACTGTCTCAGTTAGATCTAAAAGGTTGAAAACAATCACCCCTTGTGCACGAAGGCATCAGCAGGCTTCTACTCTGACCCTGAAACGTGCAAGGTATACATGTTAGCAATTTGTACAGCTCTTCAGTCACTGATGGGAGGGCCATATGTCAGGGTGGGGGAATGGTGTGAAAGAGACCTTGCTGCATATCAAACCCAGCTGTTTTGATTTAAAGGTCCCCAGAGACTTTCCACTTTGGGATGTGAGACTGTTTGCCACTACCCTTTTATCAGTACCTCTCTGGAAGGCGGGCCCTATAAACCTGACATGATTTATACTCACTGAAAAGGGCCAATTATTCATACATTGTAAATCATACCCAAATCCCAACATGATTCTTGTGCAGTTTACAAAAAGCTGCTCTTCACTGCAGATTCATCTGCTGTTCAGCAAGCACTTCCAGATAGGGCAAGATTGCAGGAGGCATAGTTTGGAATTGGGAACTAACATCAATGTAAGGGACTTTAAGCCAGGTTGGACCAGCAGAAGGTATGAGGAACACTAACCACATTCACAACTATCTTAAACCTGATAGAGTGTTTGGAGAACATTGTTGTACTCATTCTAATCCCAGGAGTTCTAAACCATCTCCTATCATGAACTACTATGGCCTTCCATGTTTCAGGGTTTTATTATAAAATTATTTTCACTATGACACAGGAATCTAAGAGTGACAGGAACACAGAGCCAACAGTCAATAAAATATCATCTTCTTGACACAGAAACAAGATATAGATTGGAGAGGGCAAATGAGCAAAGGCAGCAGTTGTTTCCAAATGAAAGTGTTCTGCCAATATATGATGGTAAAGAAAGAGATAGTGTTGGCTTACGTGATTGGCAGGTCAGTTTTTCACTTGGAACGCATCATCCAAAAGGCTTAAAAGCAACTTAGTATGCATACTAAGCTTTTTAAATAATCACTGGGGGTACCAGTGGTGACCTAGGGATCACAGGGGAGACACAATCTATTCTTCCTATCTGTAAGGTGGTAACATGCTTAGAACATGCTACACCTTTTCTTGATTCTCTTCAGGAATACAAAACTCATTCCCTCATTTATGTCTATCAAAATCTTATCTCAAGGCCCAGATCAGATCCTGGTTCCCCCATGAATCCTTTTGTAATTACTCAGCTGGTGATAATCTTTCTCTTTTCTAAAACAATTATGGGCACCTCTCATTTGGCAGGCATTATAAAAGAATTCCTTATGCTGTGATTGTCTACTTGCCCTATTACTCCAACTACACTCCAGACTACTTGAGGGCAGGGAATATGCCTTCTTCTTAAATTTGAATTTTTCCATGGTGCCAAGCACATTGTAAGCATGCAACAAATACTTGTTCAATAACTGAATGAATGGACAAGGTACCAGGGGAACAGTGCACATAGACACACCTCTTCTCAATCCTAACAATTTAATTCTTTCTCTGCTAGTGAAAGCCTAGAAGTTTGAGGAGGGGCAAGTGAGCCAGCAGTGAGTGCCCATGGGGTCAGGGTGGCACACCCCCAGAAACAAAATAGCAAAGAAGTTGCTAGTAACTAGGAAAACTAGGGAGATAGTAAAAGAGCACTAAGCTGTCCTTGATAAGTTTAAGATACTAGATGGTACGAATTATACCTTAAGGCAAGGTCGAATTTAAATAGAAACAGATCCTTGATGGCTGCACATTGATGCAGAAAACCACAAATTGACTTTATCTATATTGGATTGTATTTTGATAAGCATTTCCCAAATCTATTTCAATCTTGTTTGAGTCACACTCTTGAGGTTTGGAGGCTGTTTGTGGCCTGTGAGTTTGATACTTCTTCCCTAAGGGACTGTTGAAACTACCAGATGTGATTTCTGAGCCACAGTCAGTGACCTCTTCTGTAGTACTAGAAAGGAAAAAGTGTTATCTCAATTTTCAAAAAAGGGAAATGGGCTGAGAATGACTAATTCCTGGCAAAGTTTTAGAACATACTATTAGTGGGGTCAAGGGAGGATAAAGAGAAAGGCAAAAAATGTGGGGGTCCTCAGCAGGTTCTGGTCAGCTTGGAGTCAAGGTTGGAGGGCAGGGAAAGCAAGAGGGAAGGGAACCCACACTGATAGCTAGATGGAATATCACTGTGAACTACGAATATGAAGAATTCAGGGAACCATGGGAAAGACATAAGCAGAATCAGGGATGACTACAACAATGTAAATGGAGAGAAAAACAAGAAGTAGAAGAACCAAACACAGTAGAAACCAAACAATTTAATTGTAATGTCTAGGAAAGTTGGCTCAGGAGAGGAGTTGAGACATGATAGCTTCCTTCATATTACTGAAAGGATGTCATGTGGAGGAAGGAAAAGATTTGTTCTCTAGAGAACTAGATTTAGTTTTGCCTTGAGGAAAAACTTCCCAAATGTTAGAACTACCCAAAAGGGGAATGGGTTGTTTCAGGGAATGATCAGAGAAGGTCTACAAACAAAGGTGAAATGACCACTTATCAGTTACGTTGAAGATGGACTTCTTGTTCAGGTACAGATTGGATTAGATAGCCTCTGAAATTCTTTCTGACTTTGAGACTCTGTGGAACATTTGGGTGTGTGTTCACACACATACATAAATGTACACATATGTATACAGATGTATGCATCATACAGTATATACATTTACATATTTAGTACAAGATATATGAGTATTTGTGTGTCTGTCTACATAATCTCTTTATCAGAGTGGTATTGGGGAGGTGGAACTGCCTAGAAATACTATTCCCAGTGTCACTTGAGGAGTCCTGGAATTTTCCTAACATCAATCTGATGACATCACATAAAACTGTGAGTCTTGCTTACTCTGTAGCAGCCTAATGTTTTGCCAGAAAGCTTTCAATTCAAGTAAAATACTTATAACACACCTATTATACATAAAGCACTATCTTTGACTTTAAAAGATATTCTTTTTCCCCTAAAAATGTCTAATACTGCCTTTCAAGGAATTAACAGAGGGTAGAATGTCAACAATGTTACTATCCAAAGTATGTATAAAATCCTGTATTAGCAGCAACAGAAAAGCAGTCAGCACCATGGCCAGCAATAGTAGAGAACTGGAGAGTAGTTGACTAAGTTCTGCAGGGAAGTTGTGGAAAAACAGTGGAGCCCCCCCATGGGACTACATGAATCATGGCGGTCTGTAGGTGTGGCACTAGTAGACATATGTATAAAGAGAAAGGGTTGCTATTCATGGCAGCACATTTAGTTAGGCTGTCTCGTCCTTATTCTTTGGGGCAGTTTGAATTTTTCACAGAATAAAATTTGGATGAGCCTCTACTATGTAGGAAGGGTTCTAGGTTCCTCACCTCCACTTCCATTCACCAGGACAAATTTACCTGGACATAGTTTTGTTTCTCTTCATAAGTTGGCTAACCAGTAAAGCAGAAAATAGGAGAGTACTTCTACCGATTTTCTGATGACTTAACGGTGCTACTTAGTGCCAGTTCCACAGGGCAAGAGGTCAGCATTCTAGTAAGGACTATGTGTTTGATGAGAGGGTCTATCAGAAACAGCTCTGTCTATATTTTTTTGATTGCTGTACTTTTTCTGAGACAATCACATCACCTCAGGGGCATGTTTTGAGAGCTATGATGTAACACTTGTTTGTTTTCAAACTGGCTGAGATAGATGATCTATAAAAACAGGTAGAGAATGCTATTCCATATTCCTTTGAAAATAGTAACTTAATATTTTTTTCTAAATTACCTGACACTAAAGGGGAATAATGCTGCCTGCTTTTCCCTCCAATATACAAATCTGTCAAATGCTTTATATATCCTCTTAGAATCTACACATTATTCAATCTGCCTGTGAAACTTTCTGAGACTAGTGTTAAAAATAACAATATTCTACACAAGGCGAGGTCTTTAGGATAAAATACCAACTTCTCAGTCTAGCATTCAAGTCGCTCCATATTTTGGCTCCAACCTATCTTTCCAGTCTGAGTTCACATTGTCCCCATATTCCGATGAAACTTAGATGATTAGATGTTCACAATTTGAACATCTCCTACTTCCCATCTTCATTTATTCACATATGCTATACCTTTCGTTCAGAATGCACTCTCTCCTTGTTTCTATATTTCAGAAATTAATCTAATGCTTCTCTTCCTTCAGTACTCAAGTTAGCTGCCAATTCTTCTTTGTATTTTTTCTGACCCCCCCTTATTTTCCAGTGCTCAAATCACCTTCTATTATATTTACTTATATGTGTGTTGTAATCTCCCCAAAGAAGGTGAACTCTTTGAGGGTATGGACTATTAATTTTTGCCTTCATATTCTCTGGGCTTACCATAGTGGCTTGAATCTAAAAAGCATTTAATGTATGTTGTATTGAATTGAATTGAAAAATACCTTCTATACAAGGTAGTTTTTAATGATATTTTAAAATGTAATCTGTCTAAGAATCTGAGAGTGTCTATTTCTAGTCTCATCAGATGAAGACTGTGTTGATGATTCTGTGAGAAAACCCCGAATCAAGATGCATTTTCCTTTGTTCTCTATGAAAGTGCAGTGTTGCTGATTGACCACATGGTGGCATGTAGCTCTATTATATGAAGCCCTGACCCCTCTGTAGCATTTCACAGATTGAGTATGTGAGCTATTTATCACAGAGCATATTGCTATTTTTTAGTAGCTCTTTACAGACTTAGTTAAAAAAAAGCACAAAATGTTACCAACATCGTGCATGAAGAAAGTCCCACAAAAATGCGAAGCATGTTAGTTTATTATTCAATATTGGCCATGCAAACTGGGTCCCTGAATTGCTGGGGTTTGGAAACTTCTGAGAGGGCCTGGGATATGTCTGACACTTGGAATTACAATAAGCCATTCTAGATGTCAAGAACATTTTATCGGAAGACAAACAAAGTGGAGAAAATGGAAACTAAGCAAACTAATTAGCTGTAGGACATTTCCCTTCATGTCATCTCTCCCA